GTCCGGGTGCGGTATAATAATGTAGAGGATCTAATTTATACGTGGAGAAGCAGTTACGCCGAAAATTGTCAAATATATCAGCTACAAGTGTAGCATCGGTCTTCAAATATAAATCGGAATATTCTCCTAATGTTTGAATACCGAAAGTGTGCCAAACTTTAGATACATGTTCGTAATCATTTTCAGAAATTTCCTCATTATTTAATTTTGAAAAAACTTTTCTTTCGGAGGTAACCGCGTCTCCTCAAGTTTTTTCCAAGAATCGATATACTCGTAAGGAAAGACACCTTTCCTCGTCAATAGTTTAAACTCCTCTACGTTATTACAATGTTTACGCGTAATTAATTTTCCATTATCATTTAAATAAAATGACAATTTTTCGATAGTGCTCGCCATAAACCTGAGTCTAGGAATAGAAAGTTAAGACGCGTACCTTTGACGTTCTTTGTAAACGATATGTATCGTTCCTTGCTTATCGGTAGATTTATCGAACCCTCGAAGGAGGTAGCTAAAAAAGCCTTGATCAGAAAATGTGCATCGTAACCGGATAGGTTGTGAAAAAGTACGGGAACTGTATGGGAATTCTGATAATTCAAATTACAACCTGGATGAGCGGCACCGCGATACTTGCCTGTGAAATGACAATGATCACAATGTTTGAGATCCTGCAATGTAAACGGTTTTTCACAAATGTAACAAACATTTGCCGCATTGAACTGTTGTATCTGTGTACAATTCAAAGGCTCCATGGAAACGATACGTTTATGATAAAATTCTATCGACTGAGCCAATTCCTGCAACTGATTCATGAACCACTCTATGCAGTTACTTCCACGTTTAATTTCAAATTGTGACAAAGATTCGTCAAAGGTACAGTTCAGATAATACGCGATACTATGTGGAACATGTTTTTGAATGGGTGTCGTGTTTCCCGATTGAAGTGTACTGGCAACTGGTTCTACCATGCATTCAATATCGGCGTAAATAGCGAACGGTACTGCCTCTTGATACTTATAATTCTTAAACTTTAACATTCGCTCTTTCTCATCGGGTAAAATTACTCGACACTTATTGGAATTTACGCAATCTAGTCTGTTTTTCGAATTAATTTTTCGTTTTAAAATGACAGAGGCATTGATCGCACAATTTCGTCTGATGCTCTCGTTTAGAAATTTGTGAACTTAAAAGTCGCGATAAATTTCGAATCCAAGCGAAATGATACACGTTACCATCTGCACCGTTTGAAAAAACTGCCGTTTCTAACATGAGCAGATGAATCGTCTCTTTACCCGAACGTTACTGACTTACATAAATCGGTACGATCACGCTACTATTTTTATCGCGTTCTATGCCGAAAATGTTAATTTTTAAATTACTCATCCTTTCCAACTTTGGCACGTCCTTCAAACCAATGGGAAAATTTAAACCTTTATAATTTAACACTGAACTGAAATGCGGGTACGATTCGATTAAGTTTACATTAGACGTCGCTGGACGCAGAGTTGCATTTACCAACCAGAGGAAGCAAAAGAGATCACTGTTCTTAATGTTCACAACTGCTTTCTTGCGTCGAATGTCTTCAAGTAATTCGATGAAAGTCGACAAGCCACCGTGGATAGGAATGTATCTGTTGATATTTACCGTCAAATTTGTAATTTCTAACAGTGACCAGCCCGATTCTCTTTCCTGGAAGTCTTCGATCTTGGTTAACAATTTGTTCGTCACGTTCACGTTAAACCACTCGTCGATGTTCGTCGAAGGTAGAATAATTTCGTTTCTAGTATTAAAGAATTTAATCTCTTCAATGATCCCACCGCCTTTCGTAGTCTCGAATTTGCACGACAAAACGACGTTCACTTTCACGTTTCCATCCTTTCGGAGCACATTATTCACCCTGGTAGTGAACAATTTTCTTGAATCCTCTAGGAAATGCTTCAAGTCCTTGCATCGCAGGTTCGTTATCACTCCGGTCCTTATTCTTCCCTTGAAGGCCGATTCCAAATCACCCCAGTGTACTCTGTCACTTCACTTCTTTTTCGAAATCCTTTAAACTTTTCATAGAGAGATTTTAACGTTCCGATGGTCGTTAAGATCTTTGTCTTCTCCCCGATCGTTAGCGTGACTTTTTTTTTTTAACATTTTACAGAGGAGTCTAATATTCTGAACACCAATTTTTACCCACTTTTCAATTTCCGCGTTCGAACTTTGTTTCTTCAATACTGTATAAGCTCCCTCCATAATCTCAATCAATTTCTTACACTTTGCGGTATCCATTTTTAAACGTGTGCGAAGGCTTCGCTAACAATCAGAATAATGAATACATCTCGATGCAGCCCTTTTATACAGGGAGCCCTCTTTGTTCCAAAAAAAAATGGTAGGGGGATTTCTTGGAATCGTTGACGGTGAGAGACAGAGAGAAGCATTTGAAGTCAAAAGTTCTAGAAGGTTCCAATGTGCTATCGTCCGACGTCTACGAGAGCTAATTCTCCGAAGTCGACAAATTCGCGGAATTACGGTCGATATCTGTACCGCGAATTTTTGTATCGTTGACAGCTAAAAAAGTTCTTAGAATCGCAATCACCCCATTAAACGTTAGCGGCTTCCGCCTTTGAGGTAAAGGTTCCGGAAGATTCCAAAGTGCGACGTCTACGAGAGCCAACAGATTCCTAATTCTCCGAAGTCGACAAATTCGCGGAATTACGTTGCGGCCGACGAGAGCCAGCGGATTCCTGCGTCGAGGGAGATAACGGCTGTTCTCCAAGATCGACGGGAATTCTCAGAATCTCGTCGCGAGTCTTCCGCCGTTGCGGGGACCAAAAGTGCCGACGCGATTCTTGGAATTGAGTGGCGGACGGCGCGGCCGACGAGAGCTGGCGGATTCCTGCGTCGAGGGAGATAACGGCTGTCCTCCAAAAATCGACGGACGAAGGGAATTCTCGGAATTACGTCGCGAATCTTCCGGTGCCGAATGGCCGACGGATTCCTGCGTCGAGAGAGATAACGGCTGTCCTCTTAAATCGACGGGAATTCTCAGAATCTCGTCGCGAGTCTTCCACCGCTGCGGGGACCAAAGGTGCCGACGTGATTCTTGGAATCGAGAGGCGGATGGCAGAATTCGGGGAATCGGCAGGATTTGGAATAATGGAACTTCAGGTTTTTTGGATAAATTTGGACTGTTGAGAAGTTTAGGGCGGTTAGTCCCTAGTCCGTGCATCAAGTTTGCTGACTTTCCGTTTTACTTGATCCGCATACCGAAATCTATTCCGAACATAGGTCTAACTGATCCTATAGGAATAAATTTGAGGTTCCTTTTTGAACTTTGTTCAGAGAATCCTAACTTTACTGTGGGAGTGGCTGATCAGCCAGAACGAGATCTATTTTTTACTAATTGAGTTTTAGTACCGGGTCGCGGACTACTTAGTTCCGCGAATCTATGATTCTTCCCTGAGCTTGGATCTACGGGGGTTAGTATGGCTTATTCTAAATTAGCCAATCGCGGATATTGACTGGTAATTAGGTTTGGTTTGTGGAAAAAGGTGTTCGCCAGTTGGTGCAATACCAAAACCGATGGGATGATGTAGGAAATTGGTTTGGAGGAATACAAGGGGTGAAGGATGCAGGAGGCATGAATTTCTCGATCGCGAACTAGCGAGTACGGTTCTCGATACCGATTCTGATACGCTGCGCTCAAGTCGAAAGTTTCGAGCCAAGAGAAAAAGCCGTTGATCGTTATACGATTGATATCCCAGGCTAAGAGTGCTCTCTCGCGACGCGCCGCGCTCGCGAGCAGCACCTCCCTCTTCCGAGGCCTCCCTACTCTCATGCCATCCTAATCGCGCATGTCCTACGTATGCCGAAACAATGGCCACAGCACAGTCTCGTGCACTTCTAATTTGTACCCGTTACAATATATATAAGGCATGAAATCACGATTTCGTTTCTATGTCCGAAAGTTGATGCATTGTAAATTTTCCTACGGCATTTCACTGTTTATATATTTAGAAACTATTTCTGTTAAGCTAAGATAATATTCTAACTTCGGTTCAGTGGATGGAACAATTGAATTGCTAAGAAACTTGTTAACATTTAATAGAACATGTTCTATTATATTCTTTATAAAATTCTGTAAATTATCATTTAACAAAAGCTACGTTAGGTGGGTCAGGGACGCTCCACAATAATACTAAAATAATTTTCATTAATTGTTTTTGTTTATAANATTGTTTTTGTTTATAAATATTTATTTTCTTTAGGAAATCCATTCTGCCCCTCAGGCGATTCAAATTCCGCACTGCTCCCGCCGCTAGTACGCTGCCCGGCCGGAGAGGGCAGAGCGGACAGGAGGAACCATCGACGGAGTCCAGTGTATGCACTACCGTAAACGCGACTATTGTATATTGCCAGAGAAGACAATACGCATTCTTGTCTGACGAACGGCCCTATTGAAGAATATACGAACATGCGTTATCTTGCTATTCTTACCTTTCACTATCACACACATCAAAGTGGTCCTGATTAGGTTGATGTAAATTGATACAGGTAAAATACCAGGCATTGATGCAACCCCTTCTATTGGGTGTGCTGGTTTATATAATTTCAATACAAATTCAGTGTTCACGAAGATTCGTCATATTTGCATATCATTTATGCGAAATTGAAGTGTACGCACGCTGTAATTACGAATAGACGAATCAACGTCAATTAGTATCTTTTCTTAACAGGTTTGTTACAATGCCTCATATATGCAGAAATACAGTGCTTCAGTGTAAGAATTTCTTGAACAGTTTTCGAGGTCCAATGGGTGAGTGTAATTTAAATTCTCTCAACTTGAAGTATAGAATTTAGAAACTGAAAATTATTCTGTATTTGTTTAATTATACTTCGCGCGCACACGCACGCGACATAGAACACACATATACACACACAATTTATATGAAAAAAAAGGAATGTTCAATTAATTGAGTATTGAATACACGTTTAGATTCTCTACGACGATAAAATGAGATGAATGCTGGTTTAATTGACCCTTTAATTTATGTTCTTGCACTTTTTAATTACCCATGATTCACTAGTACTTTTCAAAAATGCAAGTCAAAAATTTTCATGCCATAAATTGAAAGCAAAATGTTAATAGGTGTCTCACTTCTGATATTAAATTACTAATTAATTTCAACAAATAAGGTTAAGCCATATTACTTTTTGTTCTTTTCACATTACAGCTACTTTAAGACGCATGTATTCTCAGGAAAACGATGGAAGCTTTATTGGATTTATTGGTGGGGGTAACATAGCCTATTCTATTGGGAAAGGAATAATAAAAACACGTAAACTATATGTAGCTTATATAGTTATACTTCTTCGTATCCTCTGTTTAAGTTATAATCATTGCAAATCTTTTTCTTTAGGTTTAGTGGAGTCATCGAAGGTATATGTTGCAGAACCATATGTACCAATGCACAGACGATGGAGAGACTTAGGTGTTAATGTCACGACTGAAAATGGTGTTGTTGTGACAAAATGTAAGACTATATTTCTAGCAGTAAAAACTACTGCTCTGAAGGATGCAGTAAAAGGTATAGCAAAAACATTGCCTGGTCCTGCTGAGAGTTGTCTGATTGTGTCAGCTCTTGCTGGTATTTCACTGGATACATTGCGCAAGGTGAAAATTCAAGACTAGGGAATGATACAATTGCTCAATAGTACATTATTGTACGTAGGAAAAATACTGTTTACTGTATCGTAGATTATTTTACCTGTATTACCTGAAGCAAGAATAGTACGGTCTACTCTGAATACACCTCTTTTAGTTGGGGCTGGGTGTACAGGTAAGAAATTCAGTAGTTTAGAAAATTTGAACAGTATAAGGTATTTGTAAATATAATACATTATAAACCTCTATGTAGTGTTTAGTGTAGACGAACGTGTAACTGAACAAGACGTTGTTCAATTAAAAAAACTTATGTCTTCCATTGGTATGGTTGATGTTGTACCAGAGACTCAAATGAATGCTGTTGGAGCACTTGTTGGTTGTGGGCCAGCTTATGTAAGTATATTACAAGAATACTAAACAATTAAATCCGTGTTTATTTCTAATTAAATTTGTAAATTTTAAATATTATCACTATTACAGATGTTTGTCATGCTAGAGGCAATAGCAGATGGTGCTGTAAAGATGGGAGTTCCAAGAGATCTCGCCCTTCGATTAGCAACGCAAATAATGCATGGATCTGCAAAGATGGTTCAAGATACTGGTAAACATCCTGGAGAACTTAAAGATGAAGTATGTTCTCCAGGAGGTACAACAATTGGAGGTTTACATGCATTGGAAAAGGGGGGACTACGGTAAATTTTATATAAAGACATAAATGCCTGATGTAAGGTTAGACATTTTTCCTATCACATTTAATACAAATTTTAATTTTCACATCTTTACAGGGCAACTCTCATTGACACTATTGAGGCTGCAGTGGAACGATCAAGAGCTATTTCAGCAAATTAAAGATTGCCAGTTATTATTTTATGGTCTCAATTTTATATGTAAATATGTCTGTATATACAGTATATGTACACACAATGTTTTACCCTAATTACACACACAATTATGGCTTTAATTTTATAAGTATTTAAAAATGAATGACATTATTGAATTACTTAATGCTAGTTCTGATGAACTTGTTACATAAACCTACTAAACTTGCCTCAAAATAACTATGTTTTTGAATACTCAACACATCTTGATGGGTCAGTAGGATAATATTCTTGACACTTGGTCATGAGCCTCTTCAGAGCTTGAATGTATTTTCTTTGTGTTTCATCATTCATTACATGTGCAACATTTTTGGAAAAAATTTTTTCTCTTCCGGTACGTGCATGAATACCAACCATCGTAACACCAATGGGCCAAGGAGAATTTCCAATTGCCATTTGAAGATACGCATCACTGGCCTATATAACAAATAAACCAGTTTTTCATTAATTAGAAATGCTCAAATATTTATAAACATGTACTTATTTGCATGTCTTGTTACCAGTATATAATTGCGTTCCAGTAAATGTTTTACAATTTCTGTTAAACTATCAGTGATGTCTTCAGGCAGTGATTTATTTTTTAGTTTTCTTAATAAGGGTTTCAAATATTCCCTGGTTTGGGTATATGTTGCACTAGCCATCTTTCCTCTTGTACTCATTTTTTCAGCTGTTGACTTACTATTTAATTGGTTTCCCCACATTTGTACCATGAATTGCAGGAATTGTGTGATGACATTCATATCATAATCTCTGTCACCATTATTCAATTTAGCAGACATTTTTTGTATATCTTCATATGTAATACCTTCATCTGGTACATTTACGTCACCTTTTCCATCCCGACCTTGGGGTTTTGAGGATGTCAAAATCTCATTGAGATAAGCTTGATCAACTTGTTCCATAGCTTCTTGGAAGTCATTTCGGAAACCCTTAACATAAAAATTAAAATACGTTTATTTTATCTTTTGAAGAGAAGATTAGCAAGCAAAAAATTATCCATATTATTTAATTTGACTTACCTTGTTAACCTCAGGTTCAAGAATTTCACATTTCCTCAGTCGTTTAAAAGCTTCTAATTCTGTTTCTCCGAACAATAAAATTGGTTCTCCACGTTCACGTAAACGGCGGATTACTTCAGGCCTAGAGAGAGCTAAATGCTCGGAACCGTTATCAGTCACAGACCGTTCAAATTGTTCATTCAAGTCTGACATGACATTATCCTTACTTCCTCCTCTATTTTCCGCAACTTCACGTTCTTTCGACAATAATTCACCTCTTTTGAAATATTTTCTATCATTTTGCTACAATTTACAATATCTTTCTTAGAAACATAGCATAACTTTTAAAGCCCCATAGTACTTGATTTCAAGCAATTGAGACTCACCAAAACATTACTTTCTTCCAGCTGTCGCTTCTTCTTCATAATTTCTGCCTTTAAAATATCCATCTCGCTGCTTTATAGTTTGTTTGTTTGTTTTCGTGTGACGGCTCTTTCGGCCCAAGAGTATGGGCCCAGTACCACAATTCTGGTTGCTTTATAGTTCTAATTCATAAATATTCTTAAATGGTTAAACCAAAGCCTACAGAACTCTTCATAGAAGCCCGGTTCCCGTGTTGACACTTGCTAACCAATAAATAGTAATCAAGCGGGGCGCTAGATAGCAGCACGGACGAATTAAAGCAGGACAAAGTTCGGGGAAGAGCATGGGCGGTGTGAACTGCCCTATGCGGGGATTCGCCCCCCCCCCCCCCCAACGCGCCGTCGACAATGGACAAAAACAAATTTAGAACTGAGATACCACAGAAGGCTCCATAGCTGCTGATAGCTGCCGCTGAGAGATTGAAGCTTGTTCTGAATCGCACATTCCTCGCTCATTATATTTTGATATGATATCCTTCAGATGATGTATGACATCCACTATATACAGAAACACCTCTCAATGGCATTCTGTATTGCAATATTATCCTATTTACGTATAGAAATATACGTGGTATTCAAATGCCCTAACCCGTAGCATGTGGACGCTCGAAACGAAACACGAGGTGTCAAGAAAAAGGGAATGCTGACAAAAATGAACGCAAGGTTAGTCCACATATGTTACTTAATAGGAGAAAGAGAGACGAACATAAAACGGCGGGAACTTTGTGCGTCAAGGCATGCACGAAAAGGGAACAGTCGATCTGTAAAAGAACGAAAGTACATGTTAGCCAATGTATCCTAGGTGGAGAGAAAGAAAGACAGGTACAAGATGGCGGAACTCTGCCCATCGTGTCGTATACGGAAAGGGAACAGACGTCTGTAAGAGAGAGAACGCACGTGTTAGCCAACGTATCCTACGTGGCGGAAAAAGGAAGACACGTATAGAACGACGGGAACTTCCCGCCAGCGGAGGGTTACATGGGAAGGGAAGGACGTCAGTAAGAGACAGAAGGCACGTGTTAGCCAACGTATCCTACGTGGTAGAGAACAAGAGATGCACAGAGAATCCGGGAGGGGTACATGGAAGGGGAATGGACGATCTGTAAGAGAGAGAACGCAAGAGAGAACAAGAGATGCACCGAGAATCCGGGAGGGGTACATGGAAGGGGAATGGACGATCTGTAAGAGAGAGAACGCATGTTAGCCAACTGTGTTCGACACCACGGTAGAAAGAGGTACAGAAGGAGGCGGAGTTTCTCCGAGAAGAGTGGGAGAGGCCCGGTAGACAGTGTGTATAAGACGAAGAGAGGATGTTTCCATCATAATGAGAGAACATGACATAGAAAATGGCTGGGGAAGAAGGGGGTGGAAACGACCGTGGCGCCACCGTACAGTTGGTTACATAACTAAAATGTTAGTCAACTTTTCCGGGCATCAAAGGCCCGTATCACTCTGGGCTTCTATAGACATATTCTTTGGTTAAACTCAAGCCAATGAATTCTGACGTCTCCTAGTCATGAACGTAAGAATATATGATGGAGCCCAAAGCAGAGGCTCGAGTACTGCAGTCTGACGATTGATCCTAGTCCCTCTGGTCATCAGGTTGGCTAGTGGTCCGTGGAGCGCTGAAGAATCTGGCCAGAGGTGCAGGAATTTGTTGGCGAAATAAAAATTTCGGATTATGGGAATTCCTTTATCCTGGATGATGCTCCTCGATGAGAGTCTTGAGGCGAAACTGAAACTGAAACTGAATTTTGTCTGATGGGCCGGTCTTTATAAAGACCTTCGCCCCGTCATCTTGTGAGTGGAGGGGATCATGAGTTGGTTGGATTGGAGCCTGCTAAGCGTGCAGTTTCATGAGAGGGGAGCCCTTCGGCTATTGGTGGAGATTCAGGTGGTGGGGAGGATAGTTTTGGGGCGTTTGGGTTTGATATGGAGTTGTGGGTCGTAGTCCGTGGCTTGGCGTATGAGAGGATTTGGATGGTTAGTCGTGGTGGATTAGAAGTTTTTGGCTAGATTTTGGATAACGGTGGTGATGAGAGGTAGGTTGGTATCTTGGTGAAGGATCGAGTTTCGGACGAACCAGGGCGCGCCTGTTATCATGCGGAGGATATTATTTTGGATGATTTGGAGGGAGTGGATTTTTGAAGAGGATGCGTGACCCCAGATGGGGGCCGCATAAAGCATAATCGGTCGGGTGATTGTTTTGTAAAGAAGGAGTTTGTTGGATAGAGAGAGTTTACTTTTCCGGCAGAAGAGGGGGGCTAGGGAGTTGAAGGAGCCGCGTCCTTTGAAAGCCGCGGATTGTATGTGAGGGGAGAGGGTGAGTCTCTTGTCTACTATCACAGCTAGGTAGGTGACTTGGTTTTTCCATGGGATATTCTGGTTGAATATTTGGAGGTCCTGAGTTGGGTTGTGTTTTAGTTTTCGGGTGAAAATAATGGCTGAGCTTTTTTCTGGGTTGACTTCAAATAACCAGTCTATAAACCATTCTTCGAGAGTGTCCAGTGAGGATTGGGTTCTTTTGGAGAGGAGGTCTACACTCCAGGAGCGTGAGAGGACTGCTGTATCGTCGGGGTATTGAGCAAGGATAGTATTTTCGGTGAGAGGGATGTCGTGGGTGTATAAGTTGAATAGGTGGGGGGAGAGTACTGAGCCTTGGGGGACTCCGGCAACGAGGTCTTTGGAAGAGGAGGTCGCTTCGGGAAGTTTGACCTGGAAGGTACGATTTTGTAGGTAGGATGCTATGAGGTGAATTAATTTGGGGCTGATTTAGGCGGTTATCATTTTAAAGAGAAGGCCGTGATGCCAGACCTTATCAAAGGCTTTGGCCAGGTCGAGAAAAATTGCCCCGGTGGCTTGATTATTATTGAGGCCGTAATAGGTGTATTCGAGGATTCGGGAGAGTTGGTGTACTGTTGAGTGTTGAGAGCGGAATCCGAATTGGAAGTTTGGGGTGATTTCTAGGATGTTAATGAATTTGGTTAGTCTGTTGAGGATGATTCTTTCGGCGAGTTTTCCGAGGGAAGGGAGTAGGCTAATGGGTCGGTAGTTTTGGGGGAAGGTGGGATTTTTTTGGGGTTTGAGGAAGAGGATGATGTTAGCATTTTTCCATTGAGTGGGGAAGTGGTGTAATCTGAGCATGGCGTTGAGTATGGAGTTTAGGTAGAGTATGGCTTTGAAGGGTAGGGTTTTTAAGGCTTGGTTAGGAATAGAATCTGGGCCGGGGGCTTTTTTGGGTTTGAGTTTGGATATGATGGTTTGGATTTCGGAGGGAGATGTGGGGAGGATATAGTCGGTGGGGTGGGTGTGGAGAAATTTGTTGACTGTTGACTCGATTTTGTCGATGTGATCAAGGTTAGCATGCGTGAGATTTGTTTGGCATTGACTCTTGAGGTAATTGTCGAGAGTTTCGGCTTTTTCCAGAGGAGAGTATACCAGACCGTTAGGTCCATGTAGTGGAGGGATTTGGTAGGAAGTTTTGCCTCGGAGGATTTTGGTTATTTTCCAGAGGGAGTTATCGTTGGTGGAGAGGGAGAGGATTTTTCGGTTCCATTGTTTGTTATTATGGATGTGACGGGAGCGTCTGAGTTTACTTTGGAGTGAGTTGAGGGTGTGCGTATCTTCAGGGTAGAGTGTGCGTTGGAAAATTCGTTTGGCGCGATTTTTCAATTTAATTAGTCTGCGGATGAGAGCTGGGAGAGGGGGAGTTGGTGGTTAGGGGGGCCGGTGGAGGCTGCGCTTATGTTATGTTTAATTGTGTTTTGGAAGTATGAAATTGATGCTTCGAGGTCGTTGATGCTGTGGATTTTTGGGACTGGGCCTATTTCTTTCATGAGTGAGGTGAAGGATTGCCAGTCGGTGCGTTTTTTGGTGGGTGGGGAAAGGGAGATGGGATTGTCGAAGTAAAGGATGACGGGGTTATGGTCAGAGCTTAATTCGGAGACTGTCGTGATGAAAGGTTGTAGTGTATGGTTTTGGTGGATGGCTATGTCTAGAACATCTGGACGTTGATCGCCCCTGTAGTAGGTGGGTGAGGAGGGGCCGATTATGGTGATGTGAGGATGTGAGGATGCATATCTGTTGAGTATTTGTCCGTTGGAGTTAGTGTTGCGGCTTTGCCAGGAGGGGTGTTTGCAGTTGAGATCCCCCGCCACGAGCCTTGGGTGGGGGTCTGGGAATAGTTTGTCGAGGTCGGCGTTCAGGAGAGGTTTTTGAGGGGATTTATATGCGGAGATGTATAGGAGGCGTCCGAGGGGGGGGGGCAGGATTTATGAAAACTGCAGTGGTTTCGATGTGTTGTGTAGATGGGTTAGGTCCGGGATAGTGGGGGATGGAGTGTTTAACGTAGATGGCGGTGCCGCCACCACGAGTTGGTCTATCATTTTTGTATAGGGAGTAGTTTTGGATTTTGGGTGTTTGGGAGGGAATAAGGTGAGTTTCATTGACTAACATTACATCTATGTCATGAAATGAAAGGAAGGTGGAAAGTTCCAATTTTTTATGGAGTAGGTCGTTTGCGTTCCAGAAAGCTATGCGTAGGGGATGTGGTTTATTAGCCATTGTGAGTTAGGAGGGGGGTGAGGTGTTGGGAGAGAGCTTGGAGTTTGGTTAGGAATTCTTCCAGCGTGTTAAGGGGGGTGGGGGGGTTTGGGGATTGGGTTGGTGGGTTCGAAGAGCGTAGCGGCAGCTGGGGTGGAATGGTTCCATCGATTGGGAGGGGATGGTGGGGGTGAATTGGAGGTTTTGGGGGTAGGAGTTGGAGTTTTGGGGCAGCCCCGGAAGTTTGCGGGGTGGGGGCCTCCGCAATTGGCACATGTGGGGGGAATGTCGCGTTTTTTGGTGCAGGTGTATGACGGATGGCCTTCGCCGCATTTAACGCATTTGTGGGGAGCTGTGCAGTTTATTTGAGAGTGTCCATGACGTTGGCATCGGTAGCATCGAGAGATGTGGGGTTGAGAACGGAGATGTTCGATTCGTACTCGTATTCAGTAGATGTTGGTGATGTTATAAATGTGTTTTTGTTTGCGGGGTATGATGGCTATGAAGAGTGGCATGGGGGTTTTGTCTTTCCTGAGCATGGGTATTATTTTCGTTGGTGTGATGTTTTGGTTTGCTAGATCTTTCGAGATGTCATCGAGGGAGAAACATGTGGGGATTCCTCTAATGACGATTTTGAGCGTA